ATATGGAGTTACCACCAACCGATCCAATTTGATCTACTTCATTATTTTGTTTTACTTTTAAACGCTCCATAGTTTTTTTAAACTAAATTCCAAGACTTCTTAAAGCATCGTGACTTTTCAAAGCTATAAACTCATCATTCTTTAAAAAGAATAAAATATGGTCTATTTATTTTTAATTCAATAGATTTTCCCCTTTCAACCCTGATATTTCTGTTTTTAGCAATTATTACAATTTTTCCCAAGAAATTTCAAACTGTTATATATCAATCATTCCTTTATTTGAAATTTGTGTTTACCATTCATAAATTTCAAATATCAACATTTTTACGCTTTAAGTTGAAAATTTTTCTAGATATTATTGTATTTATGAAGAATCAAATTATCGAAGTTCGATTTCTTTAAATTTATTCTTATCTTCCGGTTCAAACCATAAAGAATAATTACTACTTGTAAAAATTTCACTTCTTGTAGTAAAAATAAGTAGCGGGTTTGACCAATTCTATTTAAGTTATTATTAATATATAAGTTTTTCCCAATATTTTCCAGATTCATCTCATCGTAACTATCCATTATTAATAAAAATCTGATTTTTTTCTGTTCTAAAAACTCTTTGCATTCTTTCAATTAAAGCTCATCAAAACCATACTCCTCTTGATGAAGTGTTTCTTCTACTGCTTAAAACACAGGATTTTTTAAAGAAGGTAAAGATATATAAATAGGTATTAAGATTTCATTACCAATTTTTTCATTAGTGTCATGTAATTTCCAAATAAATTCTTCTATTTTCTTAGCTGCAGTACTTTTGCCTGATCTAGCTACCCCATGGATTAATAGTACTGTTTCTTTATCATCTAATAAAAACTTATTTGCTTCTCCAATTTTATCATATACATTTTAAAAATTCATCAAAATCTTTTCCCCCTTGTCTCCTTCTTCATCTCTTTCTATTTATCTTTCTTCTTGTCCTTACTCATCTACTTCTAAATATCCTTCCTCACCTCGTTCTTCTTGTCCTACTATGTATCCTTCCTCATGTCCATCTTTATCCCCTTCTTCCTCATTTCCTTCTTAATCCCCTTCCTCACGACCTGCCTTATCTTCTTCCTAAAGTCCTTCTTTATCTCCTTTTGAATGGAATTTCTTCTCCTGCTTCTCTAATTTATGAAATAATTCCAAAGTTTTTAATGGAACATATATAGACCTAACATTTTTATTAGCTGCTTCTTTCAATACTTTCCATTTTCGAATATAAAAAAGCTCTTCTACTGTTTTTCCACGAAGAAATTTTATGTCATTACCCAAGCTGTTTAGTTATTTCTTCATCTCATTTATTTTTGCCCCCACTCTTCACAAACCTTTTCTGATATGATTTACAAAATCGGTGATCAATCTGAGCTATTAGCCCATTTCGCTGATATTTTAAATATATTCATCTAATTGCTGAGTTGTTTCATCCATTTCTTTCAATTATAGCTCTCTTTTGTTATGATTTGCCTCCTGGGTAATTTATTCTTACAATTCATCAATTCTCTTAAGCATTTTTTACATTTCTCCTGAAATTCTATCATGTTAAGTCTACCAATCTTTCTACAAAATTTACATCTATAATTTTTTTTGATAGTTGAAAACAATTTATTTATATTTTCCTAATTTAAATAAAAAGAAAATATTCATCTAATTATTTTAGAATTTCCTTTTTAGATTTAGACTAGAATGTAATTCAGAATTATTTTAATAATGTTGTAAGCCGAATTGGATTATTTTCTATATTCTAAATAAATTAGAGCTGTAATTTCTTCTATATTTTTCATTTAAAATATATACTCCAAACTTTGACAAGAACGATTTAACAAATATGATATAACTATATAACCTTTTAATAAAAGGATACCCAAAAAAATAAATTTATCCTGTATATTTCAAAGAAATTTTAATAAATTATAGAGCTTTTATTCAACCTTTGGTTAATGAAACGTTAATAGGTAGAGTAAGTTTTTTTTAATTTAAAAGGTTAATGAATTATTTTATAAAACTATTTCTTATATAATTAAGTGTAAAAGATATTATCTAGTATCAGTCATTTAAAGATATATCCACAAATTTTATTGAGAAGATCTCATAGATATTGGAAAATTTTACAACACTATTGCCATAATACATCCATTAATTATTGAAAAGAGGATAGATTATTAAAATAGCATTTGTGAGTTTTTTTTATATAAAATTGAAGATTCAATATAGTTTCAACAATAGAATGAAAATCATGCTTTTTTAGGATTTTGATTAAATGAGTAATTTAATTAATAGTCCATTCAAAAGCATGAAATTCTTTTTGTTTTTCCAAAAGTGATAAATTTCCAATTTAATTATAATGATATTCATAATTGTATTTGAGATTTTGTATAAACTCCAAAGCAATCCTAATTTTTATTCACTTCTTTTGACATTATTTCTATTATAATATTCAATATCTATATATCAAAATCTTTTGATTGAACAAAAACTTCATATAAATCAGCTGCAATTAAAAACTCTTATATTGATTTATGGGTAAATTAAAAGTTAGCACCTTTTTATTAAACAAGTGAACAACTTCTTATATCTTTTTTATAAGCTCCGCATTAATAATCATCATCATTAAAAAATTCGTCTAGCCATTTTTCATCTCTCTCATCTTAATATAATAACACTTATTATTAATATTACACTTAAGTCAGTTCTTGCTAGCTCATTATTTTTGCAAAGTTGATTGAATATTTTTATAAATCATATAGAAAACGGTCAATATTTATAGATTTTCCTAATTTTCTCTACTTCTCTATTTATTTCTTATAGTGTTAATTTATAAACTCATCATAAAAATCATAACTTGTAAGATTATAATCTTTTAATACATCAATAACTATTTAAATAACATCTTCATTTTCAATTGTAGCTCTCTCTAATGATTAATTTGGAAGCACAAAATTTGTTCTAATATCTCCTAAAGTCTGATCTTTAAATGAACATTTTCTTAAGAAATCTACAATTAAATGGGAATTGAATTTTCTTCTATTTAATCCCAAATTTTGAATGCAATTTCTTGATAGTTTAGTTTTTCTAAATTTTCTTTATTAAATAAAGTATCTTTAAGTTTTTCCTCTTAATCAACTTTCTAAGAGTTTTAATCTCCATAGTTTGATGCCACTAATTTTTTCTAATATTATTAATACATTTGAATCAAATATTTACTTTTGTAAAACTCTTTAAGCATATTTGGAAAATTCTTTATAAAATTTTATTTAAGATTATTTATCCCAGTTGCTTTAAATATCATTTCGGGCAACACTTAAACTATTATTTCCATCAAATATGGAGTTACCACCAACCGATCCAATTTGATCTACTTCATTATTTTGTTTTACTTTTAAACGCTCCATAGTTTTTTTAAACTAAATTCCAAGACTTCTTAAAGCATCGTGACTTTTCAAAGCTATAAACTCATCATTCTTTAAAAAGAATAAAATATGG